GAGAGGGGGGAGAGAGAGAGAGAGAGAGAGAGAAAGAGAGAGAGAGAGGGACTGACCTCACCCTAGTCTCCTCTGCCTTTTGTTCTATCTGGGCCCCAGCTGTTTGGTGATGGCCACCCACGTTGAGGGCAGATCTTTCACCACTCTGTCCACAGACTCACATGCTAATCTTCTATGGAAACAACTTCACAGACACCTCCAGGTATCTAGGTATCCCTTAATCCTGTCAAATTGACACCTAAAATTAACTATCATGCTACTCAACCAGCAAGACCAAGGATGGATGTTTGGGGGCTTAGGGCAACTGCCTCGATAAAAAGCCATGATGCCTTTGACCAGTTTTATTACCTGAGTCAGTCTTCAGACCTGGAACCCACTGACTAAGAGAGAGGCCAGTTCCTCTGGAATAAAGACCTGTGACATCGTAGCCAAGTATATCCAGTGCTGATTCCCCTAATGCTTAACCAGAGGAACCTATGGTCATTTACTCAGTGACCACACACTGGGAAAAGTGGATATTCAGATATTTCAAAGGACAATCAGTCACAGGACCTGAGCTGGTTTTGACACAGAGACCCAAAACATTATCATGACCTCCCTGTTAGTGGGGCATATGGTGATCAGGTGGAATCTTCACCCAGGTCTGACTCACAGTGGTCATTTTTTCCAGTCCCTGAATGTATAATTAGAGTGGACATACTTGGTCGTTAGTACACCTCCACATTGGTTTCTTCCTTTCTTTCTTTCTTTCTTTCTTTCTTTCTTTCTTTCTTTCTTTCTTTCTTTCTTTCTTTCTTTCTTTCTTTCTTTCTTTCTTTCTTTCAGTTGGAGTCTTACTCTGTTGCTTAGATGCAGTGGCACACTCACAGCCAGTGCAGCCTCGACCTGCTGGGCTCAAGTGATCCTTCCACCTCAGCCTTCCAAGTAGCTAGAACCACAGGCATGAGTCACCATGCCCAGCTAATTTTTTTTTTTTTTTTTTTTGTAGAGACGAGGTCTCGCCAAGTTGCCCAGGCTGGTCTCGAACTCCTGGGCTCAGGCAATTATCTCGCCTCTGCCTCCCAAAGTGCTGGGATTATAGGTCTCAGCCACTGTGCCCGGCCAAACACCCACATTGGCTTCTTGACCTGTGTAATAGGAGCTAATGTAATGGGGAAGGCCAAGAAGAAATTTCTGAAACCACCCCTCACCCATCTACAAATAAATTAATAATTCAAAATCAATATTTCATCCTAAAGGAAATGTCAGAGATTGGTAGCACCTTTAAACACTAAAGAACAAGCCGGGCTCGGTGGCTCAGCCTGTAATCCCGCGCCTTTGGAGGCTGAGGTGAATGGATTGCCTAAGCCTGCGGGTTCGAGACCCGCCTGGGCAGTGAGACCTCATCTCTACAATAAATAAAAAAATCAGCTGGGCGTGGTAGTCATGCCTGTAATTCCGGCTACCTGGAATGCTGAGGCGGAAGGATTGCCGGAGTCCAGCAGGTCGAGGCTGCCGTGGCCGGGAGCGGCCACTGCACTCCAGTCTGGGTGACAGAGCGAGA